AAGCAGGTGCTGGACAAACAGCCCAGGGAAAGCTGTGGGCACAGGGGCGGGCCTGTGGTTAGGGAGGCTGCAAAGCAGTGGAAGAGCCAGTGAGTGCTGGCCAGGATGGTCTCCAAGGTCATTTGCAGCCAGTGCGCTAGGATCCTGACAACTGATAATTGCACACTCACTGAAATGTTAGCAACGTTGTTGTTGTTAGTTGCTTTAGAGTAGGCATCCTTACCAGGTTGGGCAAAGAACGGTGAACACAAGGCTCAGCAAGGTCATTCAGAGAGGGCGGCCATGGCTCCACTACCCAGCAATGACCCAAGGGTGGTGTGTGGAGACATAGCAGACAGGGTCTGGGTGGAGTGAGGCAAGACAGGTAGGAGCTGGGGTCAGTGACCTTTGCAGACCTGCTAGGCTGAGCGTTGGAAGGTTCTGTGAAACAACAGCTGGTTCTCAAGATCCACCCATCTCTTAACTGAAAGAACAACACACGTGAGTGTTTAGAAAGTACAGAAAATTATACATTATAAACCAATACCACACATAGTCCCCCATCCACCATCCATCAACAGTTTAGGTGTATTTTCTTTCATTCCTTTTTCTAGAACCTTTTGCATAGTTAACATCATTAATATTTACAGGGTCCTGTTCCTCTCCCTTAACATCTTCCCATAAGCATTTCCTCCTTTCACTAAGAATCCCCATACATCATTTTAATCACTGCATAATATTCTGTCATATGGGTGGATCACTATTTGCATAACCAATTCCCTAATGTGGGACATTGAGCTCATTCTCTCTGTTTTTATTTTCCACTTGAAACCACGTTGTCATAAACTTTCCTGTACTGAATTTTTATTTCTGTTTCAGATTATTTCTCTTGGATCAGTTACGAGAGGTGGATTTTCTGATTCTCAGGGTGATATATTTGCCAAATAGCATAGGAGAATATTAAGTGCCATTAAGCTTTCCCGAGGCTGTGCCAGTATTATTGACAATAATAACAACTATTTTTCAAATGGCCCAACCTATGCTGAACCCTGTACCAGATGCTCACCACACACTAACTTCCAAAGACCCTATAAAGTAGCATCACCACCATTTTACATATGTGGAAACTGAGGTTAGAGAAGCCACATCACTCCCCAAGTCTGCACAGGGGTGATGGTTGGAGTGATTCGCTCTGTGCTTAGAAGGGCAGAAGGGTGCAGAAGCAGGGAGTGAGTACCCCTCACTATATATATGTGCACATATAGTTTCCACCCCTAGAAGAAGGTTGGTGTTGTGATCCTTGCTTTACAGAGGTGGAAACCAAAGGCAATTCATAGCAAATGTTTTGCTGAATATCATATGCTGTCAGTGGGTTCACCCAGGCTTTGAGCCAAATGCTGACAGTCACAGTGATGTGGACAGTGAAGGGTGCAGTGAGATTTCTGAGCCCCGAAAAGGGACAGGCTTTCAAAGAAGCAGCAGTTGTTATTCAGTGCCAGGCACAGGGCCCAACACTGGGGATAGAGCTGTGAGCAAGACAAAG